GGTGCCCTGCAGCCTCTCCCTCCTCTCAGGGGTCCCGGCTGGCTGGCAGGGGCCATCGTGACGTGGCGGGGGCACCTGACAAAACTGCTGACGACACCGTACGAGCGGCAGGAGGGCTGGCAGCTGGCGGCCTCCAGGTTCCAGGGGACGCTGTACCTGAGTGAGGTGGAGACGCCGGCTGCTCGCGCGCAGAGGCTCGCCCGGCCGCCGCTCCTCCGGGAGCTGATGTACATGGGGTACAAGTTCGAGCAGTACATGTGTGCAGGTGAGCGTTGACCCTGCTCTGCAGGCCCCCCACTCCCCCAGAGACTGTGAGCCCCCACCCTGTTGCTGCTTCTCTCTGTACAGACAAACCTGGAGGCTCCCCCGACCCCTCTGGGGAGGTTAACACCAACGTGGCCTTCTGCTCTGTGCTACGCAGCCGCCTGGGAAGCCACCCTCTGCTCTTCTCGGGGGAGGTGGACTGCACAGACCCCCAGGCCCCATCTCCGCAGCCCCCCACCTGCTATGTGGAGCTCAAGACCTCCAAGGAGATGCACAGCCCTGGCCAATGGAGGAGCTTCTACAGGTTCAGGAGGGGGTGGGCGGGCCAGGGCTGAGAGCTGACAGCTGGGACAGGGACTTGGGGGAAGAGGAGGGGGCGCCCCCCTGACGCCTGTCTTTCCTTACAGACACAAGCTCCTGAAATGGTGGGCTCAGTCATTCCTCCTGGGCGTCCCCAACGTTGTCGCTGGCTTCCGCAACCCGGAGGGTTTCGTCTGTTCCCTCAAGACCTTTCCCACCATGCAGATGTTTGAACACGTCAGGGTAAGGCGGTGGTACCTGAACCCCCACGCCAAGACCCCAGGTCCCCTCTCCCGCTCCTGCCCTCACTCGTTTCTGCCTCCTCCTCGGCCCTCTCCAGAATGACCGTGACGGCTGGAACCCTTCCGTGTGCATGAACTTCTGTGCCGCCTTCCTCAGCTTTGCCCAGAACACAGTCGTCCAGGACGACCCCAGGTGAGGCATTCTGCTCTGCCCTCCCCTCTGGGTCCCAGGAGCCCGGCCTCCAGCCCTCAGCTGCTGACTCCGTCTTCCCCTCAGGCTTGTCCACCTCTTCTCCTGGGAGCCTGGCGGCCCAGTCACCGTGTCTGTACATCGGGACACACCCCATGTCTTCCTGCCCACATGGTACGTGGAAGCCATGACTCAGGAGCTCCCATCGCCCCCCCAAGACACCGTCCCCTAAGGACTTATACTTCAGGGGGGCTGGTCCTGTCTCTGTGCAGTTAAAGGCAGATTTCTAGGTGGTTCTCCCTGCTGTGTCTTTGAGCTGTCACCCTGCCCAGCACCTCCAGTACACACAGGCGGTTTGCTGTTTTATTATTTTCCCATGGGGGTCATTCACTGAGTATAGAGGCTAGCTGCAAAGACGATGTCCCTCCGCAGCAGGGTAGCTGCCGTCTCCATCTTGGCACCCAGCACAGGCTCGCCTACCAGGCGGGCCGCCCCTCGCAGTGAGCGACACATCTCGGCCAGGCGCTGGATGCAGCGGACCACCAGGCCCTCGGGCGTCCCCGAGAGCCCTGCCAACTCCGAGAAGGGCTGTGGGGGAAGCAGGGTGGGGACTAAATTTGATAGACCTGGGCAGGCTCTCCCCAACCGTCTGCAAAACCCGAAATCCAGTTACTCACCATGCCCCGGGCCCACTCGTACACAACCCCGACCAGCCCGAAATTCAGCTCCCCTACAAATTCTTCCACTGTCTGGTTCAGGCCACAGGCCACCTGGACCTCACCAATCCGCTTGGCCACAGCGCGGACACGTTCCACTCCCTGCAGGTGGGGAAGGACAGGTTAAGACCCCCTTCCTGCTCCAGGACTAGGGAGGCTCAGATCAAGGAAGAAGCCATTCCAGCTCTTCGGGGCACGTACAGGGTTGGAGAGGTCACGGGGGACCCTGGGAGTGGGGCCTGGGAATGCTGCAGCCCGGGGAGGGGGGGCCCAATACCTGTTTGAGGGTACTTGGGAGCTGCTCCCCAGTGTCCCCGGGGCTCTGGCAGACCAGGCCGGAGAGCAGAGCTGCTATCTCCTCCGGCCGCAGGGCACTCAGAGCGTTGTCGAACATGAGCTCGGTGAGGAGCAGCTCATGGCTGCTCATGGCACAAGCCACGCGCCCCGCCAGCTTCACCGTGCCCGCCTCGTCTACATAGCCCAGAGTTCGGAGCACCTGGACGGAAGATGGCGGGTGTCGGAAGCCTGCTGTTCTCCCTCACTAGCCCCCCACACTGCTCTCACCTCTACTCGCTGGTGGTACTCGGGGAGCAACAGCAGCGACTGGTCTGACAGCAGGAAGCGCAGCCGCTCTATCTCCTTCTGTAGCTGCCTTCGCTCCTGCAGCTTCAGGTACTGTGGAGAGCCACAGCAGGGGCGGGTCAGCTCTCCCTCCCCTCCACGGGGCTTGAGGACCAGGGCTGACATGGGGGTGGGCAGCCTACAGGGGACCAGAGAGAAAAGGCTTAAAGCTGGCATCCAGGGCCCTACCTGGGCAGGGAAACGGGGGCTGTGCACGCACTGAGCCCCCCGGATCAGCTCCTCCAGCTTCCGGGCCCGGAGTCCCCCCTCAACCACTGACACATCCTTAAGCTGCAAGTCGTTGACAGGGTCAAGGGTAGGGGGTCCTGCCGGGTGGGCCTGAGCCAGGCGCAGCAATTCCTGGGCAGCAGCGGTCACAGCAGCGAGGGGAGGGTCCTTCCTGAGGAAGGAGCAGGTCCTGAGATGGGCTGCGGGCCTCCCAACCCTGCCTCCCACTCCCCCCCACGTGGTCCCTCCCCGGGAAAGGGGCCTCCCCAGCATCGGACTTGAATTTCAGCTGCTGCCTCCTGCTGAAGTCCTCCAAGATCTTCTCCCCGTTCACCCGGAGCACTTTGGTGGTGATGGCAGCCACGTCTCCGGGCTGGAGCTTGGCCACAGTGTGGTCACAGGGCCCTGTGAAAAGGGACGAGCAGGGTCAGACCTCGCCCTGAACCCAGGTGCCCTGCCTTCACTGCCCTTAGGGACCTGGGCATCTGCCCCTCTCACCTTCAGGCAGGAACAGTTTGAATCCCACCAGGTCCTCTGGGTAGGGCACACCTGGGGAGGCCGAGCGCCTCTCCTGTGGGTCCTCAGACACGGGTTTATCACACAAGACCAGAGTGGTGAATGCCCTGCTGGTGGAGTTCGAGGAGACCTAGGGGCGGGGAGGCCGGGACAGGGAATGAGAGGAGTGGACAAGGTCGAGAGCAGGTCCCATCTCAGGCAGGGATCCCGGAGCAGCCACGCAGAGCCCACCAATGCAGACCACGTCAAGCAGGCGGGTTGGGGGGCGGGGGAGGGCAGAGGGCACGAAGTGGTGGTGATGGGAGGAAAGGAAGGCAAGAGGGAAGATGAGGGCACTGCCGAGTGTAACCTGCTCCTCCCTCGGGCCCAGATCCCCGGCATCACCTGCAGGATCACACCCAGTGCGTTGTGATGCTCCTGAGTCTTCACAACCACCACCCTCCCGGCCGAGAGAGACTTCAGCCCGTTGACAGACTCCATGACACGTCGCTGAGGAGCGGGGATGTGCACACGGATGAAGGAGGCAGAGTCAGGGATGCAGGGACCAGTTCAGGGGCGCCCAGAGTGCCGCCCTGTCTTCCCCTCCTCCGTCTCCCCAGCACCCCTGCTGACCTGGATCAGGCTGCGGGTCTCTGTCAGCTCCTCTCCCCAGCTGTAATACTCGGGCAGGTCCACCAGTTGGCCGGTCAGGTCAGGCTCCTCCAAGGCCCCCAGCTTCTTGGTTAATTCAGCCAGAGCCTGTTCGTGGGCCTGGGCAGAAGCAAGGGCAGGGGTGCAATGAGTCTCCAGGCTCAGTCGGCTACATCCCCACCCGCAGCCCGCTGGCCTCCGCATGCCCACCTCTCCCCAGCCTGGCTTCCCTCGTCCAATGTCCAGGCCAGGGTACTGGTCACCCGACCCCTCACCTTGCTGTCCTTGCGGGATGGAAACTCAGAGAAGCTCCTCTTCATCATGTCCTCCACCCTGAGGGCGTCCACCCGCAGCAGGTTGAGGATCATGGTGTACGTGAGGCGGAACTGAGACTGCAGCTGCGATGGCTTACCCTGCGGGGAGCGGGGAGACCAGGCTGGGCCCGCAGCTCCCCAGCCAGCCCTCTGCGGACCACCCTAGACAAGCTGCCCGCTCACCGCTTCTGCCAAATAAGGGAGCAGAACTGATGGAGTCACAAGGCCCTGCTAGCGCCACACTCAGTGCGGGATAGAGCGAGACCAGGTCTCGCCCTTGGATCTGCTCGCTCCCACCAGGGCTTCCCCGGGCAAAGGAAATAGTAGACAGAAAGGAGGGGGCAAGGGCCGGAGAGGGAGCCGGCGGGCGGGGCTGGGCCTCGTGTCTCACCGTCATCATGCGGTGCAGGTCCACCATCTCGGGCACGCGGCCCTTGCAGAGCAGGATGACGGTGCCCGTGGGGTCCAGTCCCCTGCGGCCCGCGCGGCCCGCCATCTGCACGTACTCCCCGGGGAGCAGGTCCCGGAAGGCGTTGCCGTCGTGCTTTCGCATGGAGTCAAACACCACCGTTCGGGCCGGCATGTTGACACCCATGGCAAAGGTCTCTGTGGCGAACAAGACCTGGGACGCGGGAAGAGAGATCAGCACAGGCCACGCAGCCACCCCCCGCCTCACTAGCAAGGCCATGTAGGCAGCTGGCGTGGTCCAGGTCGTAACTCAGGAGCCCACTCCACTCAGGGCAAATGGATAGAGCGGGGACGATCACTTCCCTCATTCATTTACTTGGCTATCTATTCCTTTCTTGGTGCCCCCACATCCCACCCCCATGCCCCCACTGTCGGTCGTCCGATGTCTCTAATGAGTATCGTTTTGTGTGAATGTGTTCTTACACGTTGTCTTGTGTGCATGTAATTTGCAATTCACATTGAAAGCAGTTGTGTATCTCCCGTCTCCTTACTTCTTTTCCTCCACATGGTGTTTTCAGCACCCACCTGTCCCTGTGGTTATACCTAACCCCTCGCTTCCAACTGCGGCAGGACAGTGGGGAGCATCCCTACAGTTACCCAGCTGCTCTCCCCGAGGGGCAGGGACCGATCCCTGCCAGACGAGCCAACAAAGAAAGAGCAGACATGTTTCCCCCTGGGCCCGGGTGAGGACTTCCTTGTGGCTTATATTCAGGAATGGAATTGGGTCAGAGTATGTTATACCTGCTCTGGCCTAAGGAAAGCCAGGGTCCACTTGACTGGCCACCCTGTGCGAAGGGTCCTAGAGTCCTATGCAGGCAGACCTCACTTGATTGCAATTCGCAGATACTGCGTGGCCATCAACATGGGGGCAAGACCCTCCACCAGCGAAAAGGTTACAATTCACTGAAGGCTCAGAAGATGGGGAGCATTTGTAACACTATTCTCTAAAGTACGTACATTGTTTTTAGACACAACGCTTTGTACACTTAACAGAGTTCAGTATGGTGTCAGCATAACTTTTAAGTGCACCGAGAAGCCAAAACACCCGTGTGACTCGCCATAATGCGACACTTACTACGGCGGTCTGGGACCCAGCCCGCAATGTGCCGAGGTCTGCCTGTGGCTGTGGCAGCTTTTGGCACTAGCCAGTTCCCTAAGTTTCACCATCTAATCACTGAACTCTTATCTCGTGAGTTTCAATTTGCATTTTTCTGATGACAGCGTCTATGCTTGCTAGCTTTTTGGGTTTCTCTTCTGAACGCATCCCAGTTTAAGATGAGGACCCTAAAGTCTGGGAGATTAAGAAGCTGCAGAAGGGCCGCAGGGAGGAGGCGGCGTGCACCTTGACCAGGCCGCGGCTGAAGAGCATCTCCACAATTTCCTTGAGGATGGGCAGGATGCCGCTGTGGTGCACGCCCAGGCCTCGGTGCAGGAGCTCCGACATGTGCAGCACCTGCGGGGACCGAGGCCGTGGTCAGGGAGGGCGTCGAGCACCCACCCCACCAGCCTCCGAGCCCAGGGCCCTCCACACCTGGGGCAGCTGCCGGTCGGAGCCGCGGAGGCGAGCAAGGCAGCGCTGCAGGAAGAGGTGAATCTCGCTCTTCTCTGAACTCGTGGTGAGGTCCAGGGAGGTGAGGCCCGAAGCCTGCTCGTCACAGCGGCCCCGGGAGAAGGTGAACACCACCACGGGCAGCTGCGCACGGGTGCGGAGGGAGGCCAGGAGGGACAGGTACACACCGCGGTCCTGGGGAAGGGGGTGCAAAGGCACAGGTGGAGTCACCGGTGGGGGAGAGAAGGAAGTGTCAGCGGGGGCAGTGCTCACAGCGCAAGTCTGATGCCCCGGGGGACGAAGGAAGCAGCAGGTGGTGAAAGGTCTGGAGCCTGCTGGTCCTCACCTGTGCAGGCCCCCCCTGATGCGTGGGCTGCTTGGCCCCAAAGGTCTGGGCGTGTTTGCTCATCCTCTCCTTCTTGGCCTCCACAGCTGCATAGTACCTGGGTGTGCGGAGGACGGC